GTCAGAGAAAAAGTTGTTTGCAGGGAACTTGAAGTTCAATACATTTGTTCTATGGATCAACTTGTAGATTTGTTTGCAAAAGGATTGTCTATAGCTCAATTTCAACTTCTGATCAACAATCTTCCTGTTGTTTCACGACCACTCAGGTTGGGGGATGCTCATAAACAATCACAACCAAGTCAAATGTGAAGTATGTCTTTGATAGTATTTGTTAAACTTGTTTGAAACTTTGTGGCTGTGTGTATCATATTTTGGTTATGTGCATACCTCTTGGTTGGCTCTTTTTTTGATACAACTGTTTTGTATATTGAATTGATGCATCTGCTCTTATTTTTCATGTTAAACACCCATGACTTTGATTAAGGGTTATACACACATTCATGGAAGCATGTGATGATCAATAGAATTTCTCAAGAGTACTGAGGATAAATTTCAAGAGAGAAAACAATAACACAGTGGCAATGAGCTTAAATGGCTCTCCTTGTGCTGCCTTATTTGCCTTGCTACATTAGCATTTTCATGCTCCAAAGGAAAAGGTAAATGGGTAGGCAAAATATACTTACTTTTCCCAACAAGGCAATATTGCCTACTTCAAAGTGAAGAGTTATATTGGGCCCCACTTTTTTTTTATATATAATAAAATATCATCTTCACTTTCACCTACTTTCTATAAAATATAATAGTAAATGTAAAATATAAAAATAAATAAAATAATAATAGTTTGTACACTTGCATTGCCTATTCCCTTGGAGTGACCAACTTTTTTCATGAGACAAATGGGTAAGCAATATGCCACCTAGGTTGTTATAGTACAAGTTTGTCTATTTCATTTGCATACTCCCTCCGAGATTCTCTTAAGGCTTGATTGAGGAAACCTTCAATGGATTATGCCATTTATCTCTTCTTGTCTTGCAGTGCCATCATGATCAAGAGCAACATAAAGAGCATCTAAGCCAATTGCTTTTTATAATGTTTTTGTGCAATTTTGCTAAGAGTGTCAGCGCTAAGGAGAGCTCATTTCAGTCATTGGCCTTGCTTTCTTTATATATATATCTCTCTCTCTAAACTTTTTTTGTTTCTCTCTCCAACCTTACGACTCCTCTCATATGCACTGCCCTTCTTTTCCTTTCACCCATTGCCATGCTTTTTAGAGCACTTCTATGCCATGGAAAAAGGCAAGGGAAGTTATTATTCCTGTGAATAGTGCATGTCATATCAATTTTTTTGATGCATTCCCACTCATTGTCATGGCAACCCAAGGGTAACCACTATTCACATGAGATATGAGAAGATGAATTTGTATGGATTTTGGTGTGGAAAGTGAAGAACATGGCTAGGTGTTTATAGATAAAAATTTCTGAAATTTTTGGTACTTTTTCTTTTGTTTTTCAATTTTTTTGATATTTAAATTGTCAATTGACATCAGCTTGCCCATGCAAGTCTTACCTTTGGGCTTGCCCAGTTTCATAGGCGGGCCTAGACTCCAAAAATAACCCCCACCAAGGAAAAATTGTCATGGAAAGAAGTGGGCTCCATGAAACTGGGAAAGCCCAAAAGTAAGACTTGCCTAGGTTGTTGCCTGGGCAAGCTGATGTCAATGTGATGTCAGTGGCCAATTTAAATATCAAAACAAAAAAACAAAAAAATTCAGAATTTTTTTTTCTATAAATACCTAGCCATGTTCTTCACTTCCAACACCAAAACTCCTTACAAATGCCTCTCCTCATATCTCATTGAATAGTGGTTGCCCTTGGGTTGTCATGGCGATGGGTGGAATGCATAAAAAAATTAATAGGGCATGCACTATTTATGTGAATAGTAACTGCCCTTACCTCTTCTTACCTATGAAAAATGGGTGGAAGTGCTCTTAGGATTTAGGGTTTAGGATGGATGGAAGTACTCTTATAGGCTGGGTTTTAGAGACTTAGGATTAAATAACTTCACATTGGAAGAGCCTAACAATTGCCCCATTTTCTGAAAGCCTTGTTGATCCCTTCCTTTTCTCTAGGCATGAAATCATCATAGCCAATTTTATCACATTCATATTTCAAAATTGCCTTGAAAATATATGTACATGTCTTTGATGCACGTGGGATAAGACCTGCCTCTTCAAACACTTTGCATGCTTTTCCTTCTACACTTCTTGTTCAACGTGTGGCTTATCCAAAGACAACCCAAGCTTATTTTTTGTTTGAACAAACGCCAAATTTTTGCAAAAAATTATATGTGATTTTTTCTCTTTTCTTTTTTATTTCAACGGCCTATATCTGGGAATTATGCAGATTTTGATTTTTCCCTTGCCTATTAAAACCGTAATATGAGTTTTTATACCACATAGTCAATACATAGATGCAATGCATACAGTGATGGATCTAGGAATTTTCCTTCCAAGGGTCAATGTGTAACATGTCAAAAAAAAAATAGATAAAAGAGACTTGTAAAAATTGTTGGTATAGGTGGCTCAATACAAGTCATGATGTGTAAGCCCCAGATTGGAGAATAAAAAAATAATATACAGTTTAGGTATATGTGGTCCACTCTTAATTGCACCGAGACCTTTTGAGTTAAAATCCTACACCTAGAGTTCTATTGAGCATTCTCTCTCCTAGGTGGTTAAGGTGGGAACAATATTGATGCATGATTTGGACAGGTAGTGAGGTCCTATTGGGCCGGTTGCACAGGCAGATCTACACACTTCATCCCAATGCTGATTTTTTTATAGGCTTAGTGGTATAAGCCAAATCTAGGTAAAGTAAATAATAGCCTAGCCCTCTATTTAAAATAAGTCGAGCTCTCTATGTAGAAATAAGCCCACTCTTGAAGCATATAGGAAAGAGTAAACATGCAATCCATAACCTATATAAATGTGATTTGAAGCAGACGACATAATTTTTCTTCTTGAAGGAAACTTTTTGCATCTCATGACTTGGAATGAATTTAGCCACAATATATAAACATAAACATTCATAATGATGGATTGATTATGCTTATTCTAGCTAAGCTAAGCATTTTCATTTTAACCCAAGAATCTTATAATCTACTTTGAGCACAAAATAGAAAAGAGAAGAAAGGTTAAGTTTTTACCCTTGTAGACTTTTCTCGGAGAACCACGAATGATCACCTTGTTGGAAAGGTCTTCAATCTCCTCTTAGAATGTAGATTCCTCAACTAAGAAGCTCCAAAGTAGAAGCTCTCTACCTTACCACACCAAAATGGACAAAAGATGGAGATAAGATCAACCAAGAGGCCTTAGATGCTAGACTATCTCTTAGTTGGTCCCTTTTTTGGCTAAGAAGATGAGAGGGAGGATGTTTCACCTACACATCAACACTTCACGGTTTGGAGGCCAAAAACCCTAATTTGAAAAATGTCAAAGTGTGGCTTTATAGCCAACAAAAGATTATGAGAAAATTTTGGTTCTATCTCTTCGTGGGCTTCTCTTGGGCTTATTTAACTTGTGTTTTCATACAACACATGTTCCTTGATAGGATCCATGGTTGTTTTAGTCTTTTTGTAATCTAGCCAACCTACTATATTAGGAGGTTAGTCAGTATTAGTGTGATGTTGAATTGTATTGTGTTTTGAGTAATAAAAAAAAGGTACATTCTTTGTACATTGGGTCAAGGTTGAACGGGGTTCTAACATTCCTAGGCCCAATGGATCCTTGGGCTATTTTGCAATTTGGCCCAAAATGCCTTTAAAGCTCAAATCGAGTCTAATCGTAAAACTAACTTCACAATTAACATTTTAATTGTGATTTGTGACTTAATCATTAAGTTATATCTTTACTCCGAATAGTTTGACTTGGTCATTCATTTTGGTCAAACATGTTGACTTTGACCATTGACTTTCAATATCTTATCCTCTTCATTTGTTTCTCAAGTTTCTTTCTCTTTTCATTTGTTTCTCTAATCACATTTCTTGGTGTGCAATCCATAGGTTCTTTTTAGCAAGGTAGTGGGTTGACTCAACTTCTCTGAGTTGACTTGTGAATTAAATCTCACTATTTAATTCTTCTTGTTAGTGAAGGTCAATTATGATTAAACCTTTCAGGACTTCCACAAACCATGGTTGATACCTAGCAGCATATCATGGTTATTCGAGCTAAATAGGGGTTAGAGAAGAACCTATTCAATTGGAATGGCCGTGCAATTGAATCATTCTCTTTTACAATAATCCTTATTCACATTATTAGATAATGGAATCTAATGTCAAATATCCTAATGTGAATTATTTCTTTATATGATTATCCTGATAAGATTTAAAGACCTCTTATTTCAAATATTATACATTACTCTATGTAGAGATTTAATCAATCATATCATTGGAGTATTCTCTCTCCTTACCGAGAGTAAAACTTCCTTGTTGTACATTCATTTGCCTCCATGACTTTATTAAGAGTCATGATAAACACATTTAGGTCATGTCTTCTATAACACAACTATACAGTGCCCTCAAAGACTAGCAACATAGCCACAAGACATCTATAATGTCTCATATCTAAGGATTAGTTTGCACCATTGCAATCTATGAGTTCTAGTTTGATATGTAAGTAAAGACTTCCATTCTAGAACTCATGTATTTGATAGCTTCAGTGTACTTGTTCTCCTGCAAGCACCTACACACATATCTTGGTGTCACTACACTTAATGACTTGAGACCTCGTCATTCTCTACATATAGAGAAGATACTTGTGTATTGGTCTTGGCAGAATATCAATGCCCAATTGATAGTCCTATGACCAAAAACATATTTAGGATTAAGGAACATGATAAGTCTCGATGTATGCAATCTCATTACATAGTTCTCACGTCCACTTATATATTCCTAGGACTATAGTTGTTTGATTGTTATGATAATATACCAAATATCATGGTTCAAAGCAACTGGTCTTGCCCATGAATAACTTAATAAGTCATTACATAAGATGTCCTTAACATTTATTATCGTATAATTAGTTGGCTTTAAGGGTATACTACTAACAATTCTAGCCACCCAAAATGCCATATTTGAACCTTAAGAGCCTAGAAGAAATAGCTTCCCCCCCTCCCCCCTCCTCTAAAAAATTGTATGAACCTATCTTCAGTGGGTTTTTCAATCTAGGTAAGTTTTTCTTCTTTTTTTAAAAATTCAATTTCCAATTTTAATTGTTGTTGTTAAATTTTTATGATTTAGGGTTTGGGTGAAAACTTTTGGGGATTTTTATATATGTTTTATTTTTGAAACTTGAATTATTAATTAGTATATATGATGATAATAGACCGACAAAGAGATGAAAGACTATTTATTCATTCCTCAAAAAAAGCAGTAACGATAACAATGATACACTTTCTGCATCTAATGTTGATACTTCAATATCTGAGGAACTTACTCAACTCGAATCTCAAATAGTTGAACAATGTGTTTGATTTGATATTTATTTATATTCTATACTTCTTTTTGATATATTTGCTTGTAATGTGGCCTTGTTTGATTTATAAAATTTTATTTACATTTTTGTTTCAAGAGAAAAACTTATAATATATCTCTTGTAAAATTAAAAAAAAATTTAGCCACTCCTATAAAAATTCATAAGTCTGCCATTGATGAATTAGTACAACAAAAACTATAAACACATTAGGGAGAGGGCTGGGTTGGTGGTGGTGGTTTGGTTTGGGTGTCATGGGTTAAGGGGATAGGGTTTATTTGAGTGAAATTGCATTTGAGACAAATTTGGGGGGAGGGTATCAGGCTGATTTTATGTTAATTGATTTTTTTTTGTTTTTAATTCAACAGGCTCAGTTTTATATATAAAAAATTAACCGAGCTCAAAACGACGTCGTTTTGGTCAGGTCACTTGAAAAGAAAAGGAAAATATGATGCCCGCAAAGGCAGGCGCCAGGACTACCTGCTGCCTCTACAGCAGCTGCGCTCCCATCTCCATCCAACCACAAACCACCGGCGACGACGACCACGCCTCCTCCTCTTCGGCGGCGACGACCAGTCCTCCTCCTCCTCTCTCTCTTTCTCTCTCTCGCTCTCCCCCTTGTTTACTCTCTCGCTCACCCCCACACCCCACAGGTAAACACTGTTGTAGTATTTTTTGATTTCTTATTTCTCTGTTCTATTATTGGCTGTTATTTTATATATTTTCATTGGGTTTTTATTTTTCTGGATATTTTAGGTAAAATAGAATTGGAAAGATGTTAAATTTCTTCTGGGTGTTGCTGTTGTTTGATTTTGCTGTTTTCCGTTCTGGCGGAGGAAAGTTTCTTTTACTCTCTCTCTGTCTCTATCTTTCTCGCCGCCTCTAGTTTTGAAATTAAACTGCCATCTCCCAGAGGCTTAGCCGCCAAAACCAAACGACCACGTCACTCTTCCTCTCTAGCAACAAGAGCTGCTAGGTTCAGAGCTCAAAATCACAACCTCTTTTGAATTTTCATCTTGGGAGAACTATTTTTTGTTTCGCATTAAATTTCTGATTGCTATTTTCTCATATGTAATTTGTTTTATCATTAATTGTTACTTTATTAAATCGTTTCTAGAGCCAAAGCGAGTGGAAGTGTTCTGATGGAGGCACTTTTAGGTTTTAAGGAAGAATCAACAGATTATGACCAACTTGTGATATCAAAGCCGTCGTCATCAGCATCCTACAGCTACAAATTAGTGCCGTGGTTGAGCTGGGACGAGTGGCTTTTCGTCGACGAATCTCTCTTTTCGAATTCACCTGAATCTGTGGCCTCCGCTTTAAGAAGAGTAAGAGAACCGCAACTTTATGTGCTCTTTTTGCTTAGCCCGGAAGCAAATATTTTATTTTAGCATTATATCAGAAAGTCCATGTGGATGCTGTTCTGTTTATTTCTCTTTCTTGAAAAAAATATATAAAAAAAACTCTTTTGGCTGGCTAGCCATGAAATTCTTAGCACGTTGTTGAATATGATTGAATCTTTTTTATTTGCTCCTATAATTTTGTAAACAATGGAGGAAGTTAATTTTTTAGTGGGTTCTGCTTTAAATTGAATTTTCTGGTGATTTCTGGAAACGGTATTTATGTCTTTCATCTCTGACTTCTTGTTTAAAGATATCAGCATGGAGAAGCAGAGGTTGTCTTCCTGTTGTAATTGAAGTTACGGCATCGATTATCGAAATTCATCAAAAAGATCCTCACTTTAGGTACCTTTTACTTCCAAATTCTCTGAGCATTTTTTTATCAACTTCTTATATCTTTCTTTTTTTTCATCCCCGGTGAGGGGCAGGGGCAGGGGGATACTTAATGCCAAATGTTATTTGCTTTGTGGTTTCTGTTTGTAATTTTATCTCATTTATCGCTTTAAATTCCAACCGAAAATAATGTATTTGTCCTACTTTGGTAACAACTTCATGTATGTGTTTTGTGAATTATAGAAAGGACCAGTCAAATGATGCTTTGGATAATTGCAGAGCAGATCAATCAAGTGATGCTTCACTTTCAGACGAAATGTTGGCCATGTTATATTGTATGGCAATCATGAGGTGTGGTTCCTTTAATGTTTTGGTTCTTAAATCCCTCCATTCTTTTATCTAGTCCTTATCATATGGTGATGTGTGGATGAATGTGATTAGTAGTACCACCATTGTATCCACAGTGCAATAATTTGTAGAAAAAGGTCCTTGATCAACTATAATGCTCAGTCAAAACACAAACACACACACACACACTCTCTCTCTCTCTCTCTCTCTCTCTCTCTCTCTCTCTCTTCATGGTAGTTTGGAGTGGGTTTGAATGGCTGATCAAGAGGTAGACTACTTGTAAGATGCATAGGCTAGTTGCATGGTGTGCTGTATTTCGTGATGTTTACTGGTTCACCATATGCCTTGTATCTTCACCAATATTGAAATTTTGTTTTGATTGACTAAAATTTTGTAGGCCTTAGAAAGAGCTCCAGCATGATATTAGGGATGCAGGATAGATGTATATGTTCTTATTATTGGTCATTTGGAAGAAAATCCTTGAGCATCCAAAATTCTTGTCAGGAATTTTTCTTGATATATGCATTCAGTGCTCATCTTCAATATAAGATTTCCTTTAAAATGGGTTCTTGTAACATGCAGGATTTTTGTTATAAGTTCTATATCCTGTCACATTCCTGATATTTGTAATATATCAAGATAGTTTATTGTGGATTGCCTCCTTTCAGGGTTTCACATGATTAGGCACAGAACATAGAAATTAAGTATTTGCAATTCATTGGCCATACGAGAATTGTCCTTCATATATATATTTCACTCAGTATTGTAGGGGTTAATGTTTAACTCACATTTGTTTTTGCCTCCTGTTTATTTGTGTCACATGTTGTTACATGCTATCTTTTTCTAAAGGCTTGTGAATGGTGTTGTTGAGAAGACACGGAAGAAAACAGAGGTTTCAATTGCTGTGGCTGCTGATGCAATTGGCATTCCACGTACACTGATTGATATTCGTCATGGTGAGCAACTCCTACTTTTAATTTGCACATTTATCATTGGTTCATTGATTAATATTTTTGTAGTCTAGACTACCAGCCATGCCCATTCGACCGAAGCATACTCTTTGAAGTAATCTTTTGAACACTAATGATACCCTTTTGATCTTTGATTTCTTTTCTTCTTCTTTTTTTTCACTTGGTTATTGCTTTGATTTTTAGAGGGATCTCACCGTGAACTTCCTGCACTGGAGGTTGTTCGTAGTGCTTCAGTTAAGGTATGCAGCATGCTTGGTAATTCAAATTTTGTTCCTTCAGATTCTTCTAATGCTTACTCTTTATGATTAGATTTTATGTCCAACACATCTAGTTTATTTTAATAAGTTTCCTACTAAAATTTCATTTGTGTTTGGATTAACTGCTTGTGGGTGCTGCACAGAATGGTTGTTTTGTTGATAAGATTTCTGAGTTCTATTAAAAATTGTTACAGCTGGCTTTGTTTTACTTTCAACTGCAAGAAACAGTTTACAGAAGATATCATGTATTCACTTATTTAACTTGTGGAAAATTCTAAACTATATGACCTAGTTTTATGAATGTAATAATAGGGTATTATTATGAACAATTTATCAGTTTTTGGAAAATATTACCAAGTTATTTTTTAGGAGAAAAGTGGCCTTTTACACTTATCTTAATCCTTTATGGTTTGGAACATGGATAACTACTATGAAACTTGTCAGTGTATGAAATTTTAGATTGAGCATGGCTCCACAACTGAAAGTTCATTTATTTCTTTCCATTGTTGTGATGCACTAACATGTATTTACCAATTATATTTGGAAACAAAGAATCAATTTAAATTTGGGATGTTAAACTATATCCATGGTTGGTGTTTTTAGGCCCTTGATTGGTTGAAGTACTACTACTGGGAGCCTCAGAAGAAGGCAATTCCATTTCATGGTAATGAGACTGCTGACATCAGAACTGAGATAAGGTCGAAATTCCATGAATTGGCTTTCTGCTTAAGAGTTAAGAACACTCCTCCGTCACTTTCTTCAAAAGTCAAGGAAAAACGTGGTATGAAAAACTTATTTCTTCGAATTATGTTGATTATAGTGCCTAAAATCTTTGATCCATAGGTTGTAATATTTTCCATTGATTTTACATAGAGTGCAATACGCTCTTGCACCTATGACATATAGAACCTTTCATGTTAATTGCAGCCAGATTTTGTAGGAATTGTACTGTGTCATGTGTCATAATCCAACAATGAAATATATGCTTTGACACTCTTTCTTTTGTCAAGGAATAATCTAGGACTGTTTATTCGGAGTTATTTTCTGCAGATGGAAAAGCACAGTATATGAATGCCCTTAGAATTAGGAAGCTATAATTTTCTAAATTCTTAAATTTATGTTTAGAGTTTGTCTTTTTTCGCTACCTTTTGGAGAATATTCTTTTTTAATGAAATGGAAATAGAAATTATCATGGTATGTATTTCGGTCAGCAAACAATCTCACAAACACATGGGAGAGTCAAAATTATGTTGTGTTCTAAGAAAAAGGCATTTACACAGCTAAGCTACGGTACAGAACTAATTGTCTACATGTATCATGCACACGATGTATACTTCAGACATATGGATATATTTCATATGTCAGGTTTTAGATTTGGTTACATATTTTATTTGAGTAACCACGTGTCTGGCCACTGGATTAGCATTTACTGGGCACTTGCTCCAGTGGGCGTAAGTGATGTGCGTGGCAAGCCATGTAGGACAGTGTATGGAAAAATTCTGTAAAAGTAGGAGTTTTGTTTTAGTTGTATAGTTTACAATGAACATTTATTATTGCATAATGCTTTTCATTGTTTCAAATTTCAATCTGTATATAGGTGGCAGAAGTAGTAAATGGCTTTGTGGGCGTAATAAGTTTTTCTCACTAATGGCTGGCAAGATCCATTCATCAAAATCTAGACGTAAGATTATCCCTAATTTTAGTAATTTAGTGGACTTAGGAGGTGGTAATGTGTTTTTGTTGTACACTGTTTGGTTATAGAGGAATGTTTGGTTAGAGAGAGAGAGAGAGAGAGAGAGAGAGAGAGAGAGAGTCTAGATTTATTTATATTAAACAAAATCTGACTGTAGTTCGGAAGTAATAAGGAAAGTTTGATCAAATCGTTGGATTAACAGCAAATCCAGTCTTGTACTAGTTGTCGGATTAGCTGAAAAGCATAAATCCTAACTCCACATACCCCTATAAATCTAAACTTGGTTGTCATTATATGTTAAAGTAGTCACAAATGCAACTACTGAGTTATAAACAATTTAAGTTTGGTTTGGGTTTCCCGTTTGTAATCTCAACAATGTAACCCCAAAACCAAACCGTCCCAGAACTCAACTTTACCAGAGATTTTCTGTCCGTAACCTGTTCAAAAACATTTCCAAACCTGACATTCATGGGTGGACTAGGTTTGGTCCTGCCAAAATCTGCCTGTTGTTGCCCATAGAAAATCGGTGTTTCCTATTATTATTATTATTTTAAATACTTCAAAAATGGACGTGTAGTCTATCCCAATTAGTTTCGTTATAATGGTTTCATTGTTTTTAAGTCAACTGGATAATGGTGTTGATAGAAGATATGTCTTATATTGTTAAACAATTGGTAATAGTGAGAAATGATATGATCCTTAATGTAGTGAAAAGTATGGAACAGAGTGCATATTGAGAATCTGTTATAGTTTCAAAAAATAGAATCATGTATCTAGTTCTATTCCCCTCTTTCTTTTTTAAGTTGTGGATGACGTAATGCCATATTTAAAACTTAGTTTCATGTTCCCTCTTGGCTATCTTTTCTGTAATTAGTCATGTCAAGAATTGTGAAGTACTTAGCATATCACATTAATGAGCTAAGAATTGGGCTCCTTTCCTTTGACTAAGGAATGTAGAGGACCTAGTCTTTCACTGTTACTGCCAATCATAATTAGAATGTTTGGAAGCATGTATTAAAGAAAGTCACTTATCTTAAAGTATGCTCAGAGCCGTCGAAATCATGATTGGATGTCCAGTACTAAAGAACAGCAGTCAACATTTGAAAGAAAAATGGGGACGAGCTCAATCTGTCTCTAATGTTTGAAGGATATGTCTTTTAATAATTGCATGTCATATTGGTATGATGGTATCAGTTTCAGAGAAAGTCGCTATTTTTTTGGTAGTATATATTGACAGCCATTTTAAGCACGATTGGATGTCCATTTGAAAGCAAATAGAGAGGATCTCAATCTGTCAGCCAACTTTTGAAGGATGTCTTTAAATTCTTGGATGTTTTATATGTTGATTGAGGTACTTTCTTTTCAGGTTCTAAGAAAGACCTTACCAAGATATTGAAAAGTCTTGTAGGGTTGTATGCTTCCTTCTCCTCAGAAGTTGTTTCTATACTGTTGGAGATCTTGTTGAATGCTATAAATATCTCAGAGTCCTCGAAGCTTCCAGTAAACACCCAAAATGGCCCGAGCCTACATATTTCATTGAATGAGTGGAAGCTTGTGATAACAAAATTTTCAAATAAGGAACCAGAGTTACTTCTGGCTCTCCTGAATGCAGCTCTTGATATGATTGAGACTCAGGAAGCAGTGCTATTTGAGACAGGTAATCACATGACCTGATTTTTCTATGTATTAGTTGCTCCGTATTTAGATATATACTGGTAAACTTATGGCGGGTCTGTGCATGAAATCTAATTATATTTACTTGGTTTCAACTGGACTGATTTTTAATACTGGACATGGGTCAGTGATCGTTGTTGCTGCTTTTGTGAATTTGTTTAGGAGGGGTTCGCACATCATCAGACAGGACAGAGATACTTCAAGTTGAACACCTCTCTTCTCTGTTTAAGTGGCTGGTTGGGAATTTTGAAGGATTAAAGCCTCATCTTGAAAAGATTCCGCACTTGAGATCAAAGTTTCTTCAGGAGAAAAAACGATATCAAAAGCAATTCTGATGGAACTCCTACGTAAATGCCTCCTTCTATCAGCTTCTGCTAATAACCAGCTCATGGATTCTGCCGTCCATCTTGCACAACTGACAGGGGACAACTACCTATTGGGAAAATTGAACAAACTCTCTTCATTAGTTTCATCAAATTTGGATGTTACTGAAGAAGATGATTCTCTTAAACATTCAACTAATGTATTTAAGAACGAAGACGAGTCTATAAGTGAAGCAGCAAAGAAGCTAGAGATGATTAAACAGCGCAAAATGAAGAGCAAAGTAGTGAAGAGAACAGATGGTGATGCCGGAAATACTAGCAGATGGGTTCTGGCCAAATCATGGAACCCGTGTCCAATTGGAATGTTGCCTCGAGCTGTTGGATCTTCTGGTTGCCTTCCCGTTCTGGACTTTAATACTGTCCCAGAAAAGGTTTCTCAGTTACTAGGAAGAAAAGAGAACTGGGAATTGAACCAGTGTAGCGGCAAGAGAGAAGCTAGTTCCGATATACAGCTACTAGATAACCGATGTGTTAAGAAGTTGAGGGAAACAGAGGATGGCTGTGTATCAGATAGTGAGCATGTTTTATCCACAGAAGATGTCAGTGGTCATCTCATGATAGGCGGGGTCTGGAAGAAAGTTGGGGAAGAAGAACTACTTGCCATCAAGTCTGCTGTAAGGATTTGGCCACACAAAAAAAAGCCTGCTGTAAAGATTGGGCCACACCAAAAAGAAAGCCAGTAAGGATATTAATTTAGTCACTGATTTATTCAAGCTAGGGTAGGTCTAATTTGGAAGCTTTTGTTAGCATCTATGCAGTTTTGATTTGTAGTGGTGATAAATTAGTGACCGAAGCAGTTTTGATTTATATTTTGTAGTGCACTATGTGATTATCTGGGTTATAAAAGTTGTAACTAGAGTAACATTAGCTGGCGGGTTCTTCTATTTTAGCACTCCGCCAGAGATTATTTTATTTTTATGTTTTTTTTTCTTCCTTTTTTATAAACTCACCATGGTTTATTTTCACTAAGACACTGGTTTCATTATGTTATTCAATTTTGTGTTCAATGATTTGATATCAGCCCGGACCATTTTTCAATCTTATTATTAATCAGGAAAAAACTTGGCTCCTTAAAATTGAGGAGCTCCTCTTTACGGTAAATGTGGAAAAAACAATAAGAAAAAAACAAAATGTTGTGAGCTAAGAAGACAATAAAAAAGACCAAGATTCAATCACACAACAAAGAATCAAAGGTAGGCATGACATACCTGCATCACCAGTCCATCTTCACCGTACTACCGAATCTACAGCACTTCAATTGTGCGGTAAAGGAAGGCACTGCAGGGGCGACCTGAGAACACATCAAGCACAATACACTGGCAATGCAGCACATTGTGTTAGTGTGAGGGTGCACACATGTGATCCCAGGTCGCTCCTGTGGAACCCCTCTACCTCTTTAGCATTAGCATAATAGCTAGCAACACAACTTGGTATCCATGTCTTGCATGTGAACATATTATATAGAACAACTTGATTGAGTACTTCTCTCCATTGTACTACATAAATGGTACGAATAGGATATTAGAATTTCTAGTACAAATCTTCTTTACTTCCATATGTTTTTCTTCAGAAGAAACTATGTATGACAAATTGTACTACAATGTGGTACAGCTTGATTTTTTTTCCAAAGCTGCTTTGTACTCTTCAATTGCAAGTCTGTCGTACAGTAGCTCTCTCTAATTGGATTCAGTTTTGTGGTACAATACTTTGCACCTATTCGTCAAAATGCAATGAAGCCTTTTGGTCTGAAATATTCTAACCTATAGGAGGGAGATTGAATTTGAGTGCAACAGGACGTACACGCTACCTTAACCAACTGGCTTAGGCCATCTCTAAATGAGGATTATATCCTCAAATATAACCCAAAATTCCCAAAACTCATCTCCAAGAGTGGGCTACACAAACCGCTACAAAAGAAGGAGGTTTACATAAAGGGCCAATTCCTAATATGAGGGCCACTGTGGCCCTTTTGCTAGCCCGGGCTAAATAATTGGATGAGCCCAACTGACATCACCTAGCTGTTAGGTGACGTCAACTAGGTGTTTTTTTTTTGTTTTTTTTTCTAAATCCGAAAAAGTGTTTTTTTTTTTAAAAAAAAAAATCTATAAAATTCTTAACTTTTTTGTATAAATACCTACCTCATTCTTACATAATTTCTCACAACATCTTCATCATTTTACATATTATCCTTCCTTAATTTCATCATTTTACATAATTTCTCACAATCTCTTCATTCTTTTACAAATTATCCTTCATCTTTTTTCATTTCAATTAATTTTTAAGTTTTTTTAAGAACAAAAAAATATTTAATCATAAATTTATAGGGCTAATCACGTGCCGACACGTGGATATCAAAATCATATCCTAAAATATTTTCTCTTCTAAAATGTATTTTAATAGGGTATAAATAGTAGTTTAATTAAATTTACATAATATACTAAAAATTATTAAAATATTAAATTTAGCCATTTGTTACTAGAGATGGTTAAAATATATACAAATTTATAAATAAACCAAATCCTAGAAATATATTTATAAAAAAACCCAAGCACTATTTAAACATAGAAACACACCCAAAATTAACCCCAAAATCAACAATTGTATATTTTTTGGGTGTTTATAAATGGGTTTTTGAGTGTGTGTAATGATGGGTTTTGGGTGTGTTTATAAAGTGTTTTGGGTGTTGGGTTTTTTTATAATTTCAGCCCCATTTTGGGTGTTTTAGTGAAACTCCCTAAAATATAACCGGAACTGACACTATTTCTTATAAAATCATTTTTAGGGAGCTAAATATTGAACAGAGTTAAATATAACCCTCCCCACCTAGAGCCCTGATTGTTGTGTTTCTTCACTCATGCAATCTTTATTGCTTTAAACCAAAATATAAAAGAAAATAAAAAAAACTAATAACCCAAGATAAAACCATGTAGAACCCAATATGTGGGAAAATTCCTTGGGGTGACATTATTAAGAATTCTTTTTCTAAGTGACAAAATTGCACGTAGACAACCATTCTCTCTCTCTTCCTCTCTCGAGGTAAGAACAAATAGCTTCGGTGCTTTTGTTATTTATTTGCTGGTTAGAATTTGCGAGTTCTGTAATCTCATTTGTTCTCCTATAAATTAATTTTGGGTTTAAGAAGTAAGTGATTGAATTTGGACTGGGGGTTTTGGGTTTAAGCTAAAAGAAGCGATTTTATCTGTTACCCTTTGATTTCTTCTTCTTCTTCTCTCCGTCTCCAAATTGAAGCGACTGTGCAGTTCTTGTATGTGTTACGGCTTATAAATTTTTATTTGGGAAAGTTATGCATGCAAATGAAAATGGTCCTGTTTTTCAAATTCATTTGTTTTTGTATTTGGGAAAATTGCGTATGCCACGAACTGATGCTCGGAACAAATTCATTTGCTTTTGTATTTCATAGGGCGGCCGTGGCAAAATGGGGGAAGGGGGAAATGCAGTTCAAGATTCAGCAGTCCAAACGACATCGTTGGAGAACATTGAGGCCTTGCTGGAGGTAACCCAACTCCCTTTTCCAAAAGTTAATCCTCTTTTCTAAAGTACCCTCTTGTATTGAATGAAAGGATTCAACATATGTGATATATTGTGTTTTGTACAATGAGATGGTTTTTGAAATTCATATCCTGCTTTCATGAAATAAATTGTAGTTGGAGATGATCTTTTTGTGTTTGGCAGGCTGCTAGATACGATGACATGGATGACACTGTAAGCTTAGCATCTGCTGGTGTTTCTCTCGATTCTAAGGATTCTCAGGGCCGAACAGGTTATAATTTTCGTTGTTTTATAAATTCATCCCCATTTTACAATTTTTTTTTGTTATATAAATTTGACATGTGCTAAAAGTGGTAGATATTTTTCTTGTGGCTTATGGTTTTCTCCTCTCTTATTAAAATGTGAAATTTTCTTTTACTAGTTAAGGAATTCATTTGGATTATTAAAGCAATTATAGATTACGCATGAGATGACACTTTGTTGTACCAAGTTGTTCTCTCATCATGCAGAGGTTTTATTTGTTTGCTGCTTTCCTGTGCGTAATCACTTGTGAATTTGTTGAAACTTGGACAGCATCTCCTCAACCTCTTATAGTAGTTGGTCTCAATAACGTAGATACCAGGACAACCAGAGCAATAATTTTTCAAGAATTTGCTTATTGAAAATCTGAAGGATATTTATTTGGTTGTCAAATTTGAAATTCAGTAGATAAGGTTCACTTGTATGTGGTCTCAGAGCATGATGATATTGATATTTGATCTGTGAAGCTTGTGAACGTAAGTAGAGAGGTTGAGGAGATGCAAGGGTGATTTTGGAAGGATAGAGATCTGAAAACCTAATTCTTCTTGGAAGTGAGGAATCAGGTTTTCATTTCCTTTAGAAATAGTTAGGCGTTAGGATAATGCATTGAAGCTGTTAGTTATTTCATTAATCAGTTTAATATTGACAAATCATTTTGACCTCCTTACAGTGTTTAAATCGGCATACCTTGTATTGCACCAAATTATGATAGCGTCCCATTTCCAAACTATTTTCAACGATTACTAAATCATGCCGTTAGTAGTAATGGGAAGGTCAGTCAAATGGGGTGACATACATTTGAGGATGGTGAGGATTGGATTTGTGGGAGAGGGTTCATTCCTGGGCATCTCTTTGGGGCATCGGTGTAATCAGAGTTTAAGGAGAGCTATCTTCTGTTTTTTTTTTCTAGATTGGAATGCTATTGTTTCTTATAGCCCTTTGTTGATTTCTTGGGTAAATTTTAGAGTGTCTTCAGTGTAGGTAGATGTTGGTCTTGGGTTTCTTTTTCTCCTTTAGAGTGTTGACAAGATGTCCTCTGTATTGTGTAATTTTCTTTTAATAAAGTCTTCTCCCTTTACTCTCTCTCTCTCTCTCTCTCTCTCTCTCTCCCTCAAAATTTCAAAAGACAAGACATATGTAAC